CCCCATGCAGTACTAGAAACTCATCATCAGTGGCGATTCAGTGTTAATGTATGGGCTGGAGTTATAGATGATCAGTTATTAGGTCCATTTTTTCTTCCAAAGAGATTGACAGCTGATGCTTACATACATTTTTTTACAAAATGACCTTACAGAGGCATTTGATGAATTACCTCAACAAATTCTAGAAGATTGCTACTTTATGCACCGGCATATTATGCACGCGTTACTCGAGAATACTTAAATAACAGATTTGGCAATAAGTGGATTGGCCGAGGAGGGCCACCTCGTTCACCAGATTTAAATCCGTAAAATTTTTGGTTTTGGGGACATTTAAAACAAATAGTTTGTTCTGAAGATGTTCAAAATGTGCAGGATTTGAAAAATAAAATTAGTAATGCATGACATAGTAAAACAAATTCTCGGTATCTTTGAACGCATTAGAAGCTCATTTAATAAACGTATTCCTTTGTGTTTAGAAGTAAATAGTGCGCACATTGAACATTTATTATGACATGAATCTTTTCCAATTTGTTAAATATTCGTTGTTTTTATGCTGGTTGAACGATTTTCTTCGACAATCTTTGTTACTTGTTTTGTTAAATTATTAATGAACTGTATTAATTAACTTAATAATATCTTATTATTTATTAAACTTTATCTTAACCATCGTAACCATGGTAATCATNGTGTCACATTGACGTTTAACCTTTATTCAAAAATTTATTTAAAAAATAAATTTATGGAATCAATTTCAATAGTCGTGGACAAAGTATAGTATTCTACTCGCATATAATGAGCTATTATTCACTCAGGTTAATTATGCCACTCGCTGTTTTTTAATATACTATTATAGTTCTTATAATGACGTATTTCATGCGTATGTGTGAGTATTTGTACGTATGTGTGCGTAAAGTGGCGGTAGTTTGAACTAAATTTATGGTTAACGCATGCTCATACGATATTAACACAGCATGGTTGCATGTGGGGTTTTTGACAGGAAAAAATCAACCGAAATTCAAAACGTCAATTGCTATTTTTTGTAATTCGTGTGTTATCCTTTTTTTTTCTCAAAAATAAAATAAATTTTGACAATGTAGGGAAATAGGTATGTAGCAGTTGGTAACACCGCAACGCTTGAAAATAGAAATTTGAATTGACAATTAGAAACTGTCAAAACACAAAATATATTTACCTGAAAAGAATTTTTGATGTAGTCAGAGTCAATGTCCTCATCACTGTGAACCTTGTATTCGATGCTAAGAACGTGTTTAAACATCCATAGACAAAAATTGTCACATTGACAACTAGAAAAATTAATGACCCAATGTCACCAACTTGAACTGGTTCCATAAAATGTTACTAAAATCTCATTACAGCACCTGTTTGAGTGCTGTTATAGCTTCCATTACCGTCGCGAATTACAAAAAGTACTTTACCTGCCACTAATTGCTGTCAATTTGAAAAAAAAATCCGTTAAACAGCTGGATTTGAACCCGGTACCTTCTCTATGAAAGCGCACTCCCTCTCCACTGTACTATCGACCTTTGACACATAGTGTAATTTTACCGAGGTATATTAACAAAATTTGACACATGTCATAATATCGGTAAGTTAGGGTGCGTTTACGTTGGAGCTGAGATAAACGATACTAGCAAAGCAACGAAATTGTTGTCATAGTTTTATATGCATGTGTTTATATTGGAGCGACGCGTTGTCCAGCGATAGGAGAACTTGGGACTGATTATTAGGGTACGGAACTTTTGTAACAAAACGATACGATTTCCCCCCTCCACTCGTTCTGATTAAAAGTACAGCATACTGTTCAGTGGGAAATTAAAATTTCAAGTTAGAAAAAAATTGTTTTAACAAACACTATTCCTGAAGCAATTCTTAACAAACATTGTTAACAAAATTTTTTGATTTAATCAATAATTAAGGAGATAACCTCAAAATAATAATTTTTCCGTTTTTATACATAATTATACTTAGATGCTTAATTAATAGAGATGTAAAAATTTTTTATTAAGATAATTGATTCAAAATCGAAATTGAAACAAATTTTATTTAAAACATTTTTTGATAAAAACAATAATTAT